CAGCCTTGTAGGATCTAGCTGACTTAAACACCACAGCATCTGGCTGGCCCAGGAGTTCTGTTTTAATCCTATTACTTAGTTTATGGTTTGTCTGAGTCCTGCAGACTGAATGAGGCACTGTGTGGGAAGGAATGCAGACTGCACTCGAACAAATGTTTTTAAAATACCTCTTTCTTGCAACAGCAAGGCATCTCTGCCTCTAAGGCACAGTGAAAGTTCAAATGCTCTGGAAGAGGGGTGATCTTAGGAGAACAGGAACCTGGGTTCTTAGGTCATTGTTTCATTCTGCTCTAACCAGGTCCTTCCTGCGCTGCTTTCCTTCCTGTAGTAAGAGAAGGAAGCCATCTTTGTTCAGAGAGGAATTAGTTATTCTTCAGTGTGAATTGTGGATCTCTATGTCACCTGCTTTCCTTTTAAAACTCTTAGAGGAAGCAGTAATAATATGGAAAATTAGGAGAGTAATAAAAGAAAATTTTAAAGCCATTTGGAATTTGAACTGTGGCATCTACCTCTAGAGCACCATCTTGATTCTGATTTTTTCTTTCTTTTTTTTTTTAACTTCCTCAGACGAATTATCAATAAACATACTGATGAGTCTTTAGGTGACTGTTCTTTCCTTAACACATGTTTCCATATGGATACCTGCAAATATGTCCACTATGAAATTGATGCTTGCATGGATTCTGAGGCTCCTGGCAGCAAAGATCATGCACCTAGCCAGGAGCTTGCGCTTACACAGAGTGTTGGAGGTGACTCCAGTGCAGATCGACTGTTCCCACCTCAGGTACCTGTCTGTCCAGAAAACTGTCAGTTTTGTAGACTTAAGTTTGAGTAGAGCAGCCATACGTATAGGAAAGCAGAGCTTAATTTAGCGAACATTCTTGCTGATTGGGAATGGAGTGGGACAAATATACTTATAAGGGAGAAGGAAAATCCAATGGAAAAGAGGGACTGGGGCCATGAATCTTAGAGTAAACGGAGGGAAGATGACCAAATACCACCTCATGCAGTGGATCTGTTGTGATATCCGCTACCTGGACGTCAGTATCTTGGGCAAGTTTGCAGTTGTGATGGCTGACCCACCCTGGGATATTCACATGGAGCTGCCCTATGGGACCCTGACAGATGATGAAATGCGCAGGCTCAACATACCAGTACTACAGGATGATGGCTTTCTCTTCCTCTGGGTCACAGGCAGGTAATACAGTTCAAAGACATGTAGGTATGGGCAGTTACAGTAGAGTGAGTGTGGGTGGGAGACAAATTCCTGGGTTTTCCTAGACCTGCTATTAAATGTGACTGATTTCAGGTTTTTTCCCCTACTGAGTACTATTGCCTATTTATAACATAAACAATACTGTGAATTATATTTAACTCTAGATTTGTTCATTAAGGTAAGATAATTGAGAATAGACCGTTTTTTTTAGAGAAGTTTTTGCTATAGGGCATGTGCGCTTGCCAGAAAGACAGAGAGAAAGCAAGAAATCACCCCCCAGGGGAGATGGCCATGCCACAATCCCTTCTCCTCCATTGTCCTCTCGGGATCTTGGGCACGTACACACACATGCCCGACGTGAGTTTAAGCCACCAGGTCCGGGACTTGAACTGCAGTCTACTATGTGGAAGTCCAGCCACATAGCCATTATGCCAACTGCTGGTCCTTAGACAGTGTTTTTTCATTCTTGGATTCACCCCGTTGCTCTGAAGATGTCTTGCATGTAAATGTTCACTGAATATCTATGAAAAAATACTTTTAATGTTTGTAACACATCAAATATATTGAAAGGATAAAAAAAAGATGAACATACAAGTTATATGTTTTTTTCCTTCTAGGGCTATGGAGTTGGGCAGAGAATGTCTGAACCTTTGGGGGTAAGTAGCAATTGTGTTGCTTTCTTTTGAGGAAAATACAAAGTACTTCAAAAAGTTCATGGAAAATAGAATTACCATAAGTTTATTTTGGTGCAAAAAGATTTCAAATTAAAAATCGCATTGTGGGCCAGCAGTCAGTGTGGAGGTTATAGATGACTTCATGGTTTGAGTCCTGGACCTAGGAGCTTGAAAATCACATTATGTGTGTGTGTGTCCCCCAAATCCCAAGAGGAAGTTGGAGCAGGATTGTGGCATGGCCATCCCCGCAGGGGGTGATTTCTCACTTTCTGTCTCTGGAGAGCACACTGGATCTCTATCAAAAACTAAAGGCTCTCTAGTGAAAACCAAAAGTACACCATATATTGTATTTTCATGAGCTTTTTGAAGACCTCTCCTAAATACTGTTGTGGTGAGATACGTGTTCCCTTCCCCCAGAGTATTCTGTGGTTCTTTGGCTCTAAATGGTTATTTCCTCTATGAAAATAAACTAAAGCTCTAATTCTTATGCCCTACAGTTATGAACGGGTAGATGAAATTATCTGGGTGAAGACAAATCAACTACAACGCATCATTCGGACAGGCCGCACAGGTCACTGGTTGAACCATGGGAAGGAACACTGCTTGGTGAGCAGCGGTGGGGCCTAATCAATACATGGACCATGAAGAGGAATTACTTGATTTCTTGGAAAAGTTCAAAAGCTATGGCTTACTATGGTAATCTGTCCTCTGTGGTGAGCAGGTTGGTGTCAAAGGAAATCCTCAAGGATTCAACCAGGGTCTGGATTGCGATGTGATTGTAGCTGAGGTATGTGCTTTCCCAGGCATCCAAAGGGGCTAGAATTGTAATCTTGAGTAATTTAAAAAGTAGCTAATCTTTATCTCATAGGTTCGTTCCACCAGTCATAAACCAGATGAAATCTATGGCATGATCGAGAGACTGTCCCCCGGCACTCGCAAGATTGAGTTATTTGGACGGCCACACAATGTGCAGCCCAACTGGTAAGGAGACTAGAGAACAGGCTAACTTTACAAGGACAAAACTATGGTCAAGTACTGAAGTCAGTGACAATCCACTAGTCTACAAATACGTTTCAGAGGATTCATAAACCACTTAAAATCTTGTGTTTACGATTATTTTATGGAATTCTGTAACATTCTTTGGAAACCCAATAAGTTCTAGGACCTAAAAAAGCTTTGGTCTCTAGGGTCTTCATTCTCTCACTACCTAAGGATCTTTCTCAGCCTTTTTATGGGATATATTGAATCTGCCCCCTGGTTGTTACTAAGTATGTATTTAATATTTTTTTTAATAATTATTTGATTTTATTTATTCATTCATTTATTTTAATTTGACCAGAGAGAGAGAAAGAGTGAGAAAGCAAGCTGCCAGGTCCAGGACTTGAACCGTGGTCAGCTATGTGGGAGTGTCCAGCACCTTAACCACCGTACCACCTGCTGGTCCCAAATCTTGACAATTTTATATTAGTATTTTTCACCACTTGGCTAGAGCTTAAAACACATGCTGGTAGCATATTATTTATCCAACTTTGTGAGATAGGCCTGCCAAGGCATCAGTTAACTCTTAGTACAGATTTAGCCTGCCATTCATTCATTCAAGGAGCATGTTTCTTGCCAGAGGGAGAAAAAAAGCAGGCTTTGAGGAGTGTGGTCATGCCACAATCTCTTCTCCATTCTATTGGGATTTTACATGTACACACACGCATATGCACAGGTGCCCATTTTCTCATGTTGGCAGGGCCAGGACTCAGACTGCAGTTGGCCATGTGAGCTCCAGCTTCCCTTAACCACTAGGGCCAGCCCTCCAGCTTATTTTAAATCTGTGTCAGTCCCTAACCAATCATATTGCTGTTTACTATCCCAATGTTAAAGTCTTTTTAAAATAACATAAATAGCAGATGAGGTAATAGGCAGTCTTAATAAAAAGTATGCATCTTTTAACAATATTAAGCCCTTTAATTCCAGGATTTCTGGTTTGCCCTGTCTTTCTTCATTTCAGGATCACTCTGGGAAACCAACTGGATGGAATCCACCTATTAGACCCAGATGTGGTTGCTCGGTTCAAGCAAAGATACCCAGATGGTATCATCTCTAAACCTAAGAATTTGTAGAAGCACTTCCTTATGGAGCTAAACATCCATAGCCATTGCTCTGCAGGCTACAGCTGAAGAGAATATTTGTACAATAGCTTTTTTCTTTATTTAAATAAAAGTTTGTATTGTAGCTGGAGTTTGAGATCATATTCTGGCTCTGCCACCTAATAATGTATGATCTTGTACAACTCATCTTGGTATGATTCTTTATATGTAAAATAGGAATATTACCTGCCTTATTGGGTTATTGTGAGTATTCATGCTAAATCAATGCATGGAAAATATAGTTGAGCATTACAAACAGGACTATATAGGATCAAAGTGATTAGCAATTAGTAATTTAAATGTGTGCTTAAGAAAGTTATCTAGGACACCACTTCTGGTTTCTTTTTTTTTTTTTTTTTATGTTTTTTTCTATGGGGTGGGGGCAGAACACCCCCCCCCCCCCCCACGGGGGATGGCCACGCCACAATCCATTCTCCTCTTGGGATCTTGGGCATGCATGCACACACACCTGGTGTGAGTTTAAGCCACCTGGTCCGGGACTCGAACTGCAGTCAACTACGTGGGAGTCCAATGACATAGCCATTACACCGACTGCTGGTCCCAGGACAGCATTTCTCAAGGTAACAACCTGCATTTTTGTGAAGGTTTTATATACTAGGGCACTCATACTCTAAACTTTTACTTTACTCTGTTATAACTATGTGGCTTTGCTATTCTTTATTTCCAAGAAAATTAAGGAAGTGCATCTTAGGTTAACACAAGTGTCTAAGGTATGCAGAGAACTGTCCTATATCTATCCTTTAAAAGATATTTCATCTAACAAAGTAAACACAAACTTATATAGACTTTGGTGAAACCTCTTTTTGGGTGGGGGGGGAGAAGGGTTTTTGCTAATAGGGTGTGTGCGCTTGCCAGAAAGAGACAGACAGAAAGCGAGAAATCACCCCCCAAGGCATGTGGCCACACCGCAGTCCCTTCTCTCAGAATCTTGGGCATGCACGCGCACACACCTGGTGTGAGTTTAAGCCACTGGGTCCAGTACTCAATCCACAGTCAACTACATGGGAGTCCAGCAACACAGCCATTATGCCAACTGTTGGTCCCCCAGGTGAAACCTCATATTAATTTGTGGACATGGAGTTCTGCCTGTTTCACTTACAAGCTGTAATGCCAATTCAAATAAGGAAGGATATGTTGACTACAGGAACATTATTTATAAAGAGAAATAAGTAAGAAACTCCTGGGAAATGTCATTTACCCTGCAGCCCAATGTGCCTGTGCTGAACACCTTTTTTCTCAGAACACATTGATGTAATTAATAGTAGCAGTTCCCTGTGTAAGTGGGAACCTTTAATGCAGTATCTTATCCTTTTTAAAATGGAACCACACAGCTTTCTGCTAGGCTCAAAGCTCAGTACTTTCTCATCATTTTAATATTTTATATAAGTCCTATGACAATTATATCAACAGATTTCCTCAAATAACCCCCCCACCACCACCACCCCTACATCATCTATTGTTTTGCTTGTCCAACTCCCTTCACCTTTTCCTCAGCTATTAATCACTGGTATTTCTGCTTACAGTTGAGAAAGTAAAAAGCAATTCCAGAGTATAGCAAATTCAATGGCCCTCACTCCATAGCTTGGCCTCTGATGGGACAAAAGGGAAAAATATGAAGGGCCATCATAGGTTGAAATGAGGCACTGCCAGAAGCTTAGCTTGTGCTTCAAAAACAGGCTCTTGGACATGTTTCCAGCAGATAAATCTTCACTTGCTTGGAGAACAGAACAGTTAAGACTATTTCACAAAAACCACTGTGTTTGAATTTCTAGATGCTACCCAGGCCAAGAATACATCCCTGAAAAAGAAAAAGATACACACAAACTTACAATTACAATCTAGATATACTCTTTTCAACTCTGTCTTAAACAAGTTCCCACATAATTTTTTGTAACATTGAGGCGAGATGGTTTTACTTTTGGAACATAAGAACATTGGGCCCAAGGGTCAGAAGCAGAGACAATGATAATCTACTGAAGATTTGAAACAGGAAACACAAATGCTCTGTTTTGTAAATATGGGTAATTTTCAAGAAAATTTGGGGAGAAAGACAAAATCAGAACTTCTCCACACTTAGCCTTTAAAAAAAAAAAACCACAATATTTATTTATTTAACTTTATTCATTATTATTTTTTAGTTTGACCAGAGACAGACAGTGAGAGAAAGGGATAGGAAGAAAGCAAGCCACCATGTCTGGGAACTATGGTTGCCTACATGGGAGTCTGGCACCTTAACCACCACACCACCTGCCAGCCTCCCCCTTTTCTAAGAGAGAGATTTGCTATAGAGACAGAAGATGAGAATTCAACCCCCAGGGGGATGGCCATGCTGCAATCCCTTCTCCATTCTCTTAGGATTTTGGGCTTGCACACGCATGCACCTGGCATGAGTTTCAAGTGTCCAGGACTCACCACTGTCGACCATGTGGGAGTCCAGCAACATAACCATTACACCATTCACAGTCCCCACATTTAGCATCTTATTGTATTACTTCCCGTTAACTTGTTTTCCCCAAATGCTGATTTTCTAAGTGGTCTGATTTCATTAAGGATTGAAAAGTTAATACAAAAATGGTCTGATTTTATTAAGGATTGAAAAGTTAACACAATTGCTGGGGCTGGCAAGTGGCATGGTGGTTAAAGGCACTGGACTCCCATATGGCTAAGCATGAGTTGAGTCCCAGACCCTTTCTCACTCCACCCCCCCATCTTTCTCTGGCCAAATTAAAAATAATAATAGGGACCAGCAGTTGGTGTAATGGCTATGTCACTGGACTCCCATGTAGCCTATCATGGTTTGAGTCCCGGACCCAGTGGCTTAAACTCATGCCGGGCACGTGTGTGTGCATGCCGAAGATCCCAATAGGAGAATGGTGGAGAAGGGATTGCAGCGTGGCCATCATCCCTTGTGGGGGTGATTTCTCGCTTTCTGTCTGTCTGGCAAGCGCACGTGCCCTATAGCAAAAACCTCTAAAAAAAGAAAAATAAAAGTTAAATAATTCTTTAAAAAATTCCTAATAGCTTAGTCTGTTACTTCTTTTTTGGGTCAGAGATTTTTGCTATATGGCATGTGTGCTCATTGGAAAGACAGAGACAAAGTGAGAGATAACCCCCTGCAGGGGATAGCCATGCTATAATCCCTTCTCATCCCTGGATTTTGAGCATGAACGCACATGTGTCCAGTGTGAGGGTTTTTTGCCTTTTTTTTTTTTTTTTTGGAGAGAGCGTGCGCTCACCAGACAGACAGAGAGAGACATAGAGACAGAAAGCGAGAAATCACCCCCCAGGGGGGATGGTCACGCCGCAATCCCTTCT